AGAGAGAGAGAGAGAGAGAGAGAGAGAGAGAGAGAGAGAGCATGTTCAGTGTTCAAACCCCACATTGAAAAATGAAACACAAAGGGTTGAGCTTTCTTCGGATGCACTAAAAATAATCCGTGATTAATAAAAAATATATATATCTTATACTTCGTTCAGCCCATAACAAAAGAACACGTTTCCAAATATGAGGGCGAGTACCAATCACGTACTTGCGAATCGCGTGGGGAGCCTTCTGACGCGTTGGATTTTGTAAATAGTTCTTCTAGTCATGACTAGAGGGAGCTTATTACAGATTGTTGCCACGTGTATAACTTTATATAAAAAGAAGTTATTTTGGAATAGTTTCTATGTCGTATTTTCCTTTATTTGCTATATATATATATATATATAAACTGATAATAACAATGAAAATCAATACTAAAAGGATAAACATCAACAAAATTATAATTAAAACACATTTCTTTAAAAAGAATTACTTTTAAATGGGTTTCCTTTAATTTATATAAATGAAATGCTAAATACTAGACAACTCTCTTAATCGTCCAAGAAAAGAATATACCAGTTTCGTGGTATTCAATTGTATCGAGTAATAATATTAAAATATTTAATTATAATAATTTAAAAGGATCACAACCTTCTAAAAAGATCATAAAGAAGACTTTGCGATATTCGAGAATAAAATTTTTTATAAAAAAAAAAGAAGCCACAGTCGTAACGACATCTGTGTAATTGCTTTGGGAAGCTCATCTTCCTTCACATGTTTCTGATCTATCCTCGTATTTCCTATTAATGGATGTTCAGTTAACCTAATCAGCCTGGTTTTGTTCGCTTACGTGTTCAGTTTCTATTGGATATCACATACACACACACACATATATATATATATATATGTGTGTGTGTGTGTATGTAGCACGTTATATGGTACGGCTGTATTTATACATATATGTGCATATACGTGCTACCTACCATTACATCGATTTAATTAATTAATGTTTTTGTTTATTCGGAATAAGATCTGAAAATTTCATTGGTTGATCATCATTCATAAGCTATTCTTTTATTCGTACGAAATAATAAAGAGAATATTATCTTGCGCTATAAATAATTAGTTTCCGGTCAATTAGCGATTAAATGATTAAAAATAAATCCTAAATACAAACTTGGAATCCAGGCTGTTTTTAATGTAAACATATATATATATATATATATATATATATATATATATTCTCATTAAAAAAACATATATATTTTGATCTTATCAAGAGGTACATAGAGTTTGAATTGGCCAAAATTCTAACAAATATGAACATAAAAAAACACAAGAATTTCTTTGTGACTTCATAAATCAAATCAATATTTAATTCTCGAAGAAATTAATCTCACCTTATATTATTATTGTGAAATCACCACGATTTATATGCAACAGAGATGACATTATATATTGCTTCTTGAAACAGGATGAAATTCATGACTGTGAAGTTTGAAACATGCATTTTTATCAAAAAGGTGACAAACAAAACTATGTAAATATTTCATTCAATTAACTTTTAAAAAAAACTATATTGGATATAAATTATAAATTTTTGCATAGCTTTTTTGCACCGAACATTTCTCACTTCGTTTTATAAAATTCGGACAATATTATTTCCTTTTCCCTGAAATTCGCCACGCCATGACAGTATTTTATTAAAAACGGGAATCATATATATACACAAATACATGTGAGTGTGTACTATAAGTTTTTTTAAGTACGACATTGCTAGTTTTTTTTTGTTATTTTTTAAGTTTCATGTCCAATCTTAAGGTTACCATAAATGGAATTTTCCATTTGAAGGGCAAGGCAATGCACCCAACTGTCTCCCACCACCTTCAGAAGGAAAAAAATATGATGGATCATATGATTTTAAGGTTGATTTTTTTAGCCAACAGGAAATAAAAGTTCATTAAAAGAACAATATATATATATATATATATATATATAAAGCCCAGATCTGAATTCCCCACTTTATGCTTGTCAAATTACAGGAATCCCTCTCGTGGCGTTATTTTTGTACTGCTGAGTTTTTTCTTATAGAAAATGTGAATAATTTTTGTCCATTTCGATAAGTTTGGTCAGTTCTTTCAATGAGCGTATAAACACAGCATCAGATTTTTCGCGTTAATATGATCTTCTATAATAGAAAAAGAGACGGAGAATCATTGGATTTTTCATTATTCAACATGTAACATTACAATATTTATAGCAGAAACAAAATCATAAAATATCTTATTTAATAAATATAAATATCTAAAATATAGAAATAAAATCAAATCTAAATATTACGTAATCTTCTCAAATCTTGATAAAAAAATGTTTCATTGGAACTTGAAAAGTGAGTCATCGCATCGTTATTACAACTTTAAAGAACTTTAAACTCTAAGGATGGAATTTCAATCAAACTCAGTTATTTTTTTTTATATTGTATCTGCAGTTCAACGGCATAATTATCATTATACATTTTGTTTTTAATATTCAACAAGCTTATGATATAAGTACTTTTTATCTTTCAAAATATATAAGGACGACCTTCCGCCCACTTATTTTTTGCGAGTATGGAGTTAATCTTTAATCATATAATTATTTATACTATTTTCTTTATGCAGTGGAATCAAACAATATATAATTCAACAGTCTGTATCAATCTGATACGGGTTGTACAAATTATATCACACCAACAGACGACATACCAGAATAGAGACAGAACATCAAACTCATTTTGCCCACAAAAGACATGTACGTGTAAGGCAAGTGTATATGCATGTATGTATACAATTACGCTACGGGAGATGTCCAGATGCAGACATATGCCCGAGCTCGAACCGGTTCTCAAATCCAGAAGGATTTAAATAACGATCTATCCAAAAGCTTATCATCGTTCTAATGAAATCTTCACTACCAAACAAGATAAACAGCGAAAGCTTTCTTATTTAGCAACCATACCAACTGGAAACAAAAGATAAAATGGAGTATCCACCCAATTCACAAGTCTTCCAATGCAAAAATCCATACAAAGACTTGCCACTGGGAATTGGGTTATTAACGAAAACACACGGACGAATCCACGGGCTGGATGAAACAGAGTTTATAAAATTAGGCACCGAGCACGGCACCAGAATTCTTCCTGCACTCAGACAGCATGTCCATGTAGAACTGGCACCTGCTGATCTCGCTCCCATAGCTGCTAATGCACTGCCATTCAGAGTATATATAATCCCCGTTAGCCACTCATCGGATTCTTGAATGGACAAGCCCATACACAGTTATACACATTTGCGGCTACGATACATGATTCCCAAGGTCAGTACTACAATTACATCCTAGGCTGTACATTGTTTATCTGCCACCATCCACTAACCCCCAGAGTGTATAAACACGCCTCATGATATAGAAGACATAGGTATAACTGACTAGCATATCCGGCATAATTTAAGACCCAACACTAATAAATCGTACTTCAACCAACCACCTAAGCAGATTACATGACTCTAGTCAATGTTTATCTATGTGCCTATAAGTCTTAACCTAGACAAAACAAGAATAAAATCTAAATGTACGGGAAAACTTGTCGAATCATATGCACAATGATCAGGACGGAAAAGGAGAGGGAAAAGATTGACAAGAGATTAGCATACATCTTGGAAAGCCTTTGCGGAATTATCACATGCACCAGATCCCATGGCGTTTCCCACAGGGGCTGCAGCCGAGGCAGCACTGGTAACCTCAGAAACCACAGTTTCATGCTGAATGGTTCGTGGGCCCATCACAGCATCCACAGCCCTGTGCGCAACCGCGCTTCCAGTACCAAAAGCCATACCTAGTTCCAATAAACAACAGTTGAGCCCGACGAATCAAATTCAACTAGACGAATTGAAAGCTCGAATAGCCAAAACAAGACGACTTTTAAGTTAAGAACATACCCTGAGCTATAGTTGAACCAATGCCGGAGAACATAGATCCACCGCCACTAGCCTGGGCAGGAGCTGGAGGAGGGGCATGGTGAACTGCAACACAAAATGAGATCAATGTTACCGAACATGAAGCCGTAAGAAACTAAAACAATGAATCAGAGTTTGAAGAAGTTTGGCATCAAATGGAAATGCGTAGACTAGAGGGGACTAACCAGGCTGAGGAGGTGGGCTGCGTGCAGCTGCTGGGCGAGCACGAGGAGCAGATCTTCCTGCAAAAGATAACCATAAAATTACGGCCGATAAAAGAAAAAAAGTCCATATCTGATTTGGTGTTTCCAGAAACCAAAATCCGAACCATATCGGACATGCCAAACGACTAGCAACTCTAACCAAAAAACACAGACAGATACCACATCGCCTGAACAATGATTTCCCGAAACATAGAGAAATCAATTAAAAACAAATCCTTCCACGCTAAACGATTTCAACGAGTCCGACATCGAAAGCTAATAGTACAAATGATCTCAGTTCAATTTCATCAGTATCGAAGACACGCACACGTCTTTATCAATCCATAAAACGAGGAAACAGAAAGGAATCGAAACAGATCCAGCCAACAAATCGAAGACTACATAAACCCTAGACCAGATGCGCACACAAAGGCAATCCCCAAAAATACGATCTCGCCATTAACACGAAACCCTAGGAACGCCCAGATCTGAGACCGGAAATGTAATCTTACCTCCGGCGCTTCGGCGAGGCATTTTCTCAGAGACGGCGTTGAAATGAAAAGATGGGCTACGCGGCGAATACGTGAACTTTTTCGTGACCAGAAACCTGGGGATGGATTATTTATCTCCAACCACATGGACACGTGTCAAAGTTTTATTGGATTTAGACGAAGTCTCTAGAACACTGACATCGAAGCACTGGATTATTTCCCTGCCCAACTTGCCCATCACGCTTTTTATGCCCTTAACCTAATCTAAACCTGAGGCTTATAAATTTGGGCTTCAACGGCCCATCAAATGTAATTATACCGCGATTTTTTTAATCAAGCTAATTAAATAGATATATTTTTCAAGTTGAATTAATTTAACTGAGTTTGATTTAAATCCATATCAAATAAAAAAATTGAAAAACAAAATAATTGATTTAAAAAAAACGAACTCAGACGAAATTTAAACAAAATATAAAAAAAAATCATATAAAAATAAGTTTCGCAAAAAAAAAAAAAAAAAAAAAACAACCGTTTTGAATATTGAAAAAAAATTTCAAAAAAAAAAAAAAAAAAAAAAAACCGTACCGGAACGAACGGTAAAAGCTATCAATTTCGCAAATGTTTGCCAACAAAATGAATTGTGTGGAATTACAAAATACAATACCCATATATATATATATTTTCTTGCATAGATTCACTTTATTTAATGAATTATTTTCAATTTTTTTGGTGTGTAATCCTTGTAAATACATGGTCTCGAAGACACTTACCAACAAGAATTATAAGTTAACCAAGCCGACCAGAATCGAATGTGTGAAGATAAACTAAAGTTTAATAAACTCATGGAGTGGTGGTGGCTACAACTTACAAGATCATAACATTTTTGGAAGACATAACACATGCATGGCTTGGAATCAACATCGACATCGCATTACTCCCAAATTTATTTAGAGTTTGAAAAAAAAAAAAAGAGATGCGCATATCCACGAGGGTTTAAGCTGATGGAGAAGCTCATTCATTAGCATTCCTTTTGTGAATGTATAATACCTCCTCTGTCTAATGAAGATATTCCTCCATCTTTTATAAATGTAATATTTACAGAAACATGGCGGTCAGGTCATTTCGTGTTACCGCTTAGATTCAAGTGTTGTTTATTTCGATTTTATAAAAAGCTATAATCATCCTGATTTCGGTTTTATTGCTTAGATTACTCTGTTTTTTTTTTTTTTTTATCAGATTCAATGTTACCTGTTATTCAGTTGGGTTTGGTTTAATTATTCGGTTATTAACCAAAATTTACCATTTTATCGTAAAGTGAAAGTTAAAACATACAACCCTTAACCACCATGTGTTTATATAAGAGAACTCGAATTGTGTAAATGGCATTCGGCTTACTTGACCCTGGATTATATGTTACTAATTTCACCTATAATTCGAAACTTAGGGGTATAAAGTTTATCATCAATGGATCTCATCACCATTCAACCGTTGTGTGTGTACCATTACCAGAGATTGTATAAAAGGGTTGCATTTGTTAAGGAATTTCAATGTGCGTATGTGAACTGCAAACACATAGAAATGTGATAAAAACAAGAGAGCATCAGAAAAGACATAAAACCAGTGTTCATTCCAGGGATTTAAGAAGGAAAAAAAAACAAAACGTATGGTACAGAGACAAATAACCAAAATCCCACATCGGAATGGCGTGGGATTGGCTGACACAAACCGGAGAAAGAGAGAGATGAAACGTGAAACGGATAATGAGAGCTACCAAGTAAGACTATTGTGAGGTGAAGAGTGAAAACAAGAGGAGGGGGTTTGGTTGATCCCTAAGTTAAAGGGGGAGTAAGTGTTTTCTTGATTCACCGGTGAGGATGAAGGCATGGAGGAGGTTCTGAGCAGCCTGGGTTTGATGAGGTGTCCCAGACATGACAATGATCCTCTCACTTTCACTTGTTCCTATATGTTGTTGAGGTTCATGTACTATCACTCTCGCCCCCGATATCTGGTTTCACACAACACCACCTTCATTAATCTACCTTTTTTCTTTTTCCTTTTACAAGAGTAAGATTTTGTTGATTCCATCTCACTTTTAGTGTAAGATAGGAAGAAAGTTTGTTTTTTATATAATATATATTTGTGAAAAAAGAGCAGGAAAACAAGAAAACCAAGTTCCAACACTTTGAAAGGGAAAAAGAGGGACTATGATGATTGTTTTAATTAACAAAAAAAAAGGTATAAAATCTTCAAAAAAGCATGGAGTTTTCAACAGATTGTATTGCAGTAAAAACACAAGTACTTCAAAGAACATTTTGAAGAAAATTTCCCTGCAATTTCTAAAACTGTTCAGTTTTCTGGAGTTTTTGGGGGGGGGGGGGATGAAGGACTTTGATGAAATTCTTGTAGGAAGAATCTTTATGACATCTAACTGTTCAGTTTCTGAAGTTAAGTTTCAGTGCAGAAGAGGGAGGGGGTCACATTGGTTGAGGTGTATGTTAAATGTATGATGGGTGTCTTTTCCTTCTAGGTGTTCACTTCAGTTTTCTTGCCTAATTTCTTCTGTTGATAGCATAATAATTGATGTTTGGGTTTTGTTTCAGTGAACTACAGGAAGTGGTGGCAACTAAAAACCTATGTCACTTGTGTCCAGCAACTATAGTATACCAACCTAATAATCAGCAGGATTATATAAAGCAACCAGAGAAAGAATAAAAGAAAATCATATATGAAACACGACTTACCTGTCTCAGTTGCTCCAGATTTTGGCCACCCTCTCCGTACACAAATTTCATAGCGGTCTCTGGAACCCTAATTTCCACAGTTGTGTTTGTTACAACGGCAGATTTGCTTCCACTGCCAAAGACCGAGCCAACATGTCACTGTTTCTGGCAAAAGGACAACCAATTCTATGGTATTCTTGCATAGCTTATCTATACTTACCCGCTGAGTACAAAGCCGGCTCTGTTAGAAGATAATCCTCCACTGGCATCAGACAAGCCTCTCGGAGCTGTAACCGGCTGCAGACAGAGAAACCAAACACAAGATCGAAAGGGTAAACATAAAAGCATTGACCATGTCTGTATTAGATTTGCATACTTCATCCTTTACACCTCTAAGCATGAACATATATGTCATAACATGAGAATGAGAAAAGACAAGAGAGAGGGATACCTGTGATGCCCATGAATGAGAGGGCGTTTGATCCATATGATGGGGGCCATCCTGTGATGCCCATGAATGAGAGGGCGTTTGATCTATATAATGGGGGCCATTTATGTGATCCATAGTGGACTGTCGCCCAAACTTTGGAGAATAACCTGCTGATGGGTGAAACCCATCGGGAAAGGGATCATTCGGTCTTATGTATGGGTCTGTACCAATAGTTTTGGAGTAGTTAACTGGTGGATGAGATCTGCTTAGACGGGAGTCATCATATCTGCCATATAGACTTGTAGACATGGTGAGGGAGTGACTAAATGATGGATGAGACCCCATCAGAACAGGATCGTCTGATTTCCCACGAGAATTCCTCTCGGTTATTATGGATACATTGCCCTCGGTTGCAGAATTTTTCATAGAGTTGGAGAAAAGATTGTCACGAAGTCTGCTTGTAACGTGGTAAACCGCATCTTTCACATTTGGAAACTCTCCTGAAACCTTTTGGTCAGCAAAGAAAACATTTAATACAGACCGCCATGCCAACAAAAAAAACTTAAAAAGTATAAAAGAATTGCACTGACGAGCATCCTTGAGACTTGAGAGTGCAAAAGCTGAAGAATTATGTTAAACCACCAAATAAATTTACAGCAAGAACTTAATCCTTTGCTTATAACATTAATCTACATCACAGCGTGAAAGCTTCGTACAATTCATTTAAGTGTTTCTCTTCTGTGAATATCGATTACCCGATACAGAAAATGTATGAAAAATGCAGTAGACTATTGGAGACCAACTCAGAGCTCATATCTCGCATTTTTTAATGAAAAAAAACAAAGCTCTACCAGTCACCAAGCTAGTTATATTTGAAAAACTACATGAAAAGCTGGAAAGATGGCATAAAAAGTTAAGACAATCATTAAGTACCTGGACAACTTGATCACCCTCCGTGACACATTTTGGATTCTGCTCAACCTTCAACACTTGTATCACAGTCCCAGTTTTTTTCCGCATCTCCGAAACTATAGAGCCTCCTTTTCCCAATAAACAACCAATGTAATCCGTTGGGACCACAAGCCGTGCAGTGATAGATGACGTTGAGCCATTGTCCAGGCCTTTCCGGGAAGCGAGATCGAATAATCTAGACAAAACAAGGATGATAGCTTTCTGGGCTGGCGAGTTTTGATCTTCAGGGTTCTACTCGATGAACAAAAAACAAATATAGAACAAGACGAGTCACGAATTAGAACAAGTTTACAAAAGCAGACATGAAAACAAGAATGGGCTGAAAGAAGACCAACCTCAGATGCAGTAACCGCAATTAGACGTTCATCACAGTCAGGAAGTGTATTTCCCACATTTATGGAGGCACCTGTCTCGATATGAATAATCCTGACAATGTTACCCCCTTTCCCAATAACACCACCAGCATTGTCGGTAGAGCAAAGGATCTTAAAGACCACTTCTTGGTGTCTTACTTTCGTTTCTGGGGGAGGCGTCTTAGCGAAAGTAGAGTGAGAGGCAATACTACTACGGGGCGGCGGCGTATCTAGAACTGAATTACGGTGGGAAAGATAAACTGCACTTAGCTGAGGATGACTTTCTAGTGGCATTGCCTCAACACGTCGTAGTAAAGCATCTCGTGGGAATGACTCGAGAGGAGGCCTAGCCAAGGCATCATGTCGAACCAGCTCAACGGGTCTCTGCAATGCATCATGAGGATCTACCTCCCTAGGCATGCTAAAATAATCTCCAGAAACTATATTGGTAGGTCTGTATAATGTATCTCTAGGAAACAAATTGATGGGTCTATGCAATGCATCCCGAGGGATCACCTCGATAGGCCGGAGCAGAGTACCCTGAGACAACATATTGACTGTTCCCAGCCTAAAATCTTGAGAAGTAACTTCAACGGGCCTTGGAAGAGCCTCCCGGACAATTGAATCCGCAGGTCTATGCAAAGTCTCCTGGAAAATGCTATCGATAGATCTGTTTCCGGCTGTTCTTGTCCTATTAATCGGCTGACAGTCTTGAAGGCAGCAAGAGACAGACAGAAGAGCTTTCTTTACAGCCAATACAGTTCCTTCAATCTGCATAAAGTCAATACATTCACTCAGTAGGAGAAAAGCGCTGAAGCACCCAAATCGATTCGATATATTCTAATTCCAACCTAACATTCAAAATTCAGAAAGTGCATCACTTCAGATGAGAAACTACAACACTGAAGCACCAAACGGATTCGACAAATTCGTACCTCGACCATCTCCTCATTAGGGTCAGCACAGGCAGGCAGATTCTCCGTCCACACCGAAACCTTGCACCCAGTTTCCTTCCTTATTTTCTCGACCGTTTTCCCACCCTTACCAATCACAGCACTGGCATGACTCGCCTCCGCTAACAACCGGCAAGAGACCGTACCACTCCCTACTTCGCCGAAGACGAGAACCTCGAAAACCCTAATCAACGCCTCCTGTGCTTTTGAAACCTCAGCGTCTGTCTCTTCTCCAACCCCCAATTTTACCCTCGATTTCGAACCCACTTGGGCGATTACCGTGATGACCCGATAGGGGCACTCGTTCGGAGCTTCCTCGACCCGTATCTTAGATCCGGTCGATTGCTGAAGCTGCTTGATCACACTCCCAGACTTTCCGATCACAGACCCAACCTGAGACACGGGACACAGCATACGGAACACGGCGTGTCCCGTCGGAACAGACAAAGGCGAGCGCTGATGCGTCTTTACCCTCTTGGCGGATCCGAGTGCTGAACCCAGGTCAGGATCTCCGTGCCTCTTCCCTGTCGGAGAGAGAAAGCCGATTTGCTCCATCGATCTCTCTCGCTTTGTCCCCCCAACTGTTACGGCAGTCCTATCGAGGAAGGGAGAAGCCGTAAAACTTTTCTCACGGAAGTCTTGTAGCCGCTAACTTGCGCTGAGGTTGTTTAATCGTAACGCATGCAAATAGCTAAAGTGCGCACCCTAATAAGAGGTGCGACGTCGTTTTATACATGTCTCACAGGGCATCCACAAATAAGGTAACCAAACATTTTGAAAGATAACAGATATAGAAAATATCCCGAAATAATAATATATATTTTTTGGTAAAAGGAATAATAATATATTTGCATAAGCTGAAAATTATTATCTCAGAATCGAAACCTCTCACTCGCATTCATAATTTTTTATTAATTTGTTCTATCATCCAGAACAACAACAAAAATAAAGGGAAAAAAAAGTGTTTTCGGCCTCATTGGAGGGATGGGAAATTATCAGGTGCGGTAGTCTCTCGTGGACTCTTGTCAATGACCGGATGAGATTCTGGCCGTTCGATCGACAGACTCAGATGAGAAACAGCGGTTCTGTTCTTTGGAAACTCTCTCTGCGGCTCCCTTTCTGCTGATGAAAAAAACACTGAGATTATTCTTCGGCAGCAGCACTTGCAGCGCTCAAGTCCACTGACAGATCAAGTGTCTGAAAAAAAAAACGAGAAATAGGTTACTTGCGAGACAAGAAACACAGGTTTTTGTTAATGACCGAAGAAACCATTTTCAGGGTATTAGATTCGTTACCTTGCCAGTGATCTTAGTGTACATCTGAAGTACGTCCATAACTGTACTCTCAAAATGTGTCGATGCATCATACGTCTGTGACAAAGACACCAACGCAACAAAAACCCCGGAGTTAGATTGGCTTGTAATAAGATCTTAATGTCTCCTGGATTGGTTTCTCCCCCAAGAATGAATGTAATCTTACAGCAGAGATGAAGCAATGATCTTTCTCAGGATCGTTGCTCGGTAAATACGTGTCATAAGAATCATAGAATATCTCGTCGACTGGCCCAAGCAAGTCGACTCCAGGCTTCAGCTCTGCCTCGGGATCGTCAGTCTCAGCTTCTGCCGAGACAAACGCTATGTATTTGCCCTTTGGCGCTACGTTATGAGCGTATGAACAGCAAAAGAGGTACCTGCAGTATCCAACACACACATACACAATTCAAGAACTTTAAAACCATTACATGTTTTCAAATAAATCGTCTGATCATTGAGAACTGGAGTTCTTACATGTCTGATTTCCGACCAAGTTGCTTCTGGGGCAGAATGATTTGAACAGAGTGAGCGTCACTGGTGTCTGGAATTGGATGGCTCATTATACCTATGGCTCCAGCCACTTTTCCGCCTTTCTGGACCTGAATGACTCACAGACAAGAACAGTGGTTTCATAACTAGACAATGTCAATCAAACTCCATAAGCCGATAACTATGTAACAGTTATCGGATACCTTGTCAGGCAAGTAAGAAGGATCGCAGACAACTTTCTTGCATTTGGCAGTTTCTCCTGAAGACGTGACACCAACAGCTTTGCCATCACTGTCAAACTCTACCTGCCATTAAACACATTACATAAAAGAAGAACTGGACCGGGCGGGAGCCACTTTTCCGCCTTTCTGGACCTGAATGACTCACAGACAAGAACAGTGGTTTCATAACTAGACAATGTCAATCAAACTCCATAAGCCGATAACTATGTAACAGTTATCGGATACCTTGTCAGGCAAGTAAGAAGGATCGCAGACAACTTTCTTGCATTTGGCAGTTTCTCCTGAAGACGTGACACCAACAGCTTTGCCATCACTGTCAAACTCTACCTGCCATTAAACACATTACATAAAAGAAGAACTGGACCGAGACAAGGAGAAGCTCTATCAGTGTTTTCCTTTTGTTTTAATACCTTGCACTCGGGCTTGTTGAGCATGTAAGTCCCACCATACACAGCACTCAAACGCGCAAAAGCCTGAAAGAGGAAAAAGACAACGTAAAACGGGCACTGAGACGTGATCGAGGAGAAATGCAGAAAGAGGAGATGGGAGTGGAAAGAACCTGTGGTAACTCTCCGAGACCATACAGAGGGTAGATGTAAGGAGATCCTCCATGAAACCGTGCCAAAGACTCCGCATAGAGCTTTCACGACAAAAGATTGCAGAAAAGTTAAGGGATTTGCATTTCTCACAAGAAACAAAATCTTGATAGTTAGGTCAGGTACTGATCCAGATGAGCACTTGGTGAATAGATTTCAGGGTTTAATAATGACTGTAATATCATTTTCTGATTGATGATCCACCTTAATTTTCTTGACAAAATCAATAGCAGGTTGATCCAGGTAGTCGTCATCATTGTGAAGAGCCAAGGCATGGCCAATGAAATCAATTGTATCATCTTCCAGCCCGTATTTCCTGTCAAACCAGAAAGTAAGAAAAGTATGGTGAACGTATGCTTCCCTTTCTGGATCCGGTAAATAGAAAGAAGGCATAATTCGGATGCTAACAGTAAAACAAATGAGATCAAGATGAATGGTATCTAGTAGATATCTTCTATATGGATGGTTCTATCAAAACCACCAAGAACAACATCCAACATAAACCATGGGAATATACCACATTTGTCAACTAGGTTTTGTGTAGTTAGTTCTTAGATCATTACATACAAGAGCTTCACCAATTCATTACAGGGTCAGTACAAAACTGAGGATAGATGCTTCTCAAAAACTAGAATTTGAGTTATTAAAATGTAAGTGTAGCGAGTGAGATGAAAACGTACGAGATGATCTCTCTGGCTGTAACTTTGTTGAGGTCCAAACCTTCATGGGACTTGGGATCTTTCTCATCATAGTCCTGCACATATATAAAGAACTTTCTTGCCCGTCGCTTCTCAAACAGACCCATCAATGTCGATTTCAGGGCTTCAACATCAGTAGCTGGGACCTTGTAGATCTGTGAGTTTCATAGCAATGAACTCTCAAATAGAGAAAATAACAAACAAAATGAATCATCTTTCCAAAAAGAGTTACACCCACATCATTCATACCTTCCCTTTCTTGTACACAAAGCTGCCATCTACAGCTTTGAAGTTAAGATACTTTGTGACATCAGTGTGGATGAGGGTTTGAACAAGAAGACCATTGGCCATGATAAACTGCAGAATAATCACTCACCCTCTTAAGACAAGATCTAAGGCATTAAACGTTGTCAAACGAATCAAAACAATGATCTACACCCAAGAAAAGATAACAGTTACAAACATCTAAAGAACAAAACTGTTTATCATTCATACCTTAGGTGTCATATCGACATTGTATTCTCTGCTTGACCCAAGATTGTCTGGAGGAGCATCATCTCCCCGGAAACGCTTCCATAGCTAACAAAGACAGAACATATAGATTTTAAACCATGAAGACATCCGATTTTCATACTTTTGCGAATGCGGGACTCGGTCTCAGAAGATGATCAAACCTGGGTGAGATTGAGAGAAGTCGATTCTCCTCCATAGTAGTCGTTTCTGTCCATATGCAGCACCTGTTTCAAACAAAGCAGATACACAAAGAAGAACAATTGACAAGTTCTGGTAAGGACCATCAAGATTTGATCAACGAATGAAGACACTAAAACGCAGGATCTCATCCATTACAGTGAACGAGGACACTAAAACGTGAAAATATGTCCAGAAACCACAACGATTCGCGATACGACGAAGCAGATGAAAGAGAGAAAAGTAAATTCTTGGGGCATATGAACGAAAGCCCATCTGAATCGAAATTAATCGATGCAAAGTTCAGAAATTTTCACGTTACACAATGAATCATCGCCATGGAAATGAGTGAAAAAAATCTCACCTTGAGGCCATCGACGGAGAGGAGGCCACTGAGAATACATTCCTTGAGACCCGTACCAAGAACGATCACATCGTATTCTTCATCCATGGTGGGGAAAGACCAAAATCCAAAACACCAAATTCGATCCAAAGATCCTTCTTTTCTGTTTGTTTCTTCTCTTGAGAAAGAAAGAAAGAACAGAGAATGAATGAAAGAGAAATAACGCTGGGTGTGTTAATGGCGTGTGTGGTGGCTATGGAGGCAGCTTCTTCAGGAGCGACCGCTACTAACGCCATGCGAGGAGAAATTTCCGCTTCTCCCATGATGAAAGAGTCGTTTTTTTCTCATTCGGAATTTGCCGATTTATTCGATCACACGATGATGTCGGATTACGAAACCAAGATTTGCTGTACCAAATCGGAAATATCGGTTCGGTTCGGTCCGGTACAGAATCGTATTTTATTTAATTTTATCGACGTCCCAGCGGAGAGAGGCGATATGATGAGACGATCAGGACCGACTACGGAGAGAAGAATATTCAGTAAAATGACTAAAATACCCATGGTAATTCATTATTTCGTGACATATCGATCATGTAATTACGTTGTGAATACGAGTCCTTTATGGTCCATTCATCGTGTCTCCGTATTAAAAACAAAAAGCCGGATTTGGGTTTTTTTCAAACGATAATTTTTAGAGAGAGGGGAAAAAGAAATGAGCGGCGGCGGAGACGGTCGAGGCGGCGGCGGCGGAGGAAACAGAGCGGAGGCGGATCGGTGGCTGGTGACATCGGAGAAGCTTCTTGCCTCCGGAGACCTTCAGGGAGCGAAGACCTTCGCGATCCGCGCTTGCGAGGCCGACCCGACCAGAGCCGGGGCGGCAGACTACATTCTCGCCATCTCCGACACTCTCATCGCCGGAGAGTCTCGCGTGGATAAATCCGACCTGCCCGATTGGTACGCCGTGCTCCGACTCGTTCGCCTGACTCAGAACCCCGGCCTCGCCGCGGCTCAGCACCGGAGGCTCACTCTTCTCCTCAATCCGACGGTTAATCGTCTCCCCTTCGCCGAAAAGGCGTATAAACTCGTCTCTGATGCTTGGTACGTCCTTTCTGACCCATCTAGGAAGTCCTTATACGACCGCGAGTTGCAGCTGAGTCAACTCGACCAACCAGGTTCCCTGCGGAGGCTCACTCTTCTCCTCAATCCGACGGTTAATCGTCTCCCCTTCGCCGAAAAGGCGTATAAACTCGTCTCTGATGCTTGGTACGTCCTTTCTGACCCATCTAGGAAGTCCTTATACGACCGCGAGTTGCAGCTGAGTCAACTCGACCAACCAGGTTCCCGAAATCATCATCAGCAGCAGCAGCAACAGCAACCCCCGTCGCAGCAATTTCAGTGGCAGCACCGGCCGATTTCGGATAATGCGGCCGAGGCGGCTCGGAAAACTTCGACTGAAGCTACGGCTCTGAGCTTCTGGACATCGTGCCCGTACTGCTTTGTACTCTTTGAGTACCCAAAGGACTACGAGGAGTGCGCATTGCGGTGTCAACACTGTCGGAGAGCGTTTCAAGCCGTGACGATACAGACACCTCCGGTTGAGGGCAAAGACAAAGATGTTTATTTTTGTTCTTGGGCTGTCTTCCCGTTAGGGTTTTCAGGTCATGTTACCCCATTTCCCCGCTCTTCGCCTGCCCGGGTCAGGGGCAGCCGAGCATGACGGTGAGAAAGGAACAGTCTGCACCGAGGATATTTTATGATGATGATGACATATATGTTGAAATTTCAGAGGAGGAATATGAACCAGGAGAAGATGAGCTGGAAGATGATGATGAGGATTGGCTGAATGATGAATCCATGAACAAGAAGGCAAAGATTGGTAAAGGAAAAGACACGACCCCAAAAACGAAACAGCGGGCTGAGAAAGCTGGGAGGGGGACCCAAACTGTAGTAAGTAACAATGCTGTTAGCCATCCTACGGTTCCAATCAAACAAAATGCTACTGTCATGGTGGGTTCGTCATCTGGTGGAGCGTCTAAACCAGTTGGTAGTACCAGTAGAAAACGAGTAGGAACTGGAGCTAAGAATTTGGGAAGGTTAGATTTGAATGTGGAGTTCAGTAATGAAGTGGAAGAGCCTTCGATGGCGGCAGGGGGAGGAAACAAAGGGGACGGGCTCGGAAGTATTAGGGATGTCGATAATATTGAAGGAATTGGGTTTTTCGAGGGTCTTGATGATTTCTTGAGTAGTTTGCCAATACTTTCAGTTGTTGGGGATGATAAGGTCAAGGCTACTTAGTGAAGTAAGGTTTTTTCCTCTCTTTTTCTGTTTAGCTGTCTTGTTTTCTTGCTGTTTTTGGTTGTAGCCTTAACTTTTGTGTATGATAGCTGGTGTCTAACAGTAGAAGAGATTCTGCCATTTTGATTCCTTGGAAATCCAGTTTTAGATATGTATTTTGGGGGTAAATGATTGCATGTTTTTCTTCGTTTATGGTTCATAGTCACCCGAGACATATTCTATTCAATTAGTGCGAAGCTTTTAGCTTTCTCGAGCACCCAATGGTAGATGACATGGCACTATTTACGTTTGGAGCTTGCAGCTTTTGTTTCCATCAATCTGCTGGAGAAATTCTCGGCTCTTTGTTTTCTGAAAACGAACAGATCCAGAGCTGAAGCAACAACATTCCCAGGTATCTGTCAAGGTAAGGAGAAAGATTTAGGTTTAAGTGATTGAATGTCTTCCATTTTAGTTGGTTTCATAATTAGTATTGGCGTTCTTTCACTATATTCGGGTTCCCCATGGCTTCTTCTTGTTGCGTTTCTGCTTCTTCTAGTGAAGATCTGCAGTATCAAGGAAATGAGGATGATGGAGAAGCAATGCTTATGGAAAATGCTTTGTCCTATAACAATACAATGACTTGTGCATGTTAGACTTTGTGTTTTTTTTTTCTGATACTGTAACTGTGAGGAGAAGTAGCTGAGACAACTGCTTAGCCCTTACATGTTTCTGTGCAACAGTTCATGCTTGTTCCAAGACTCATCAGTCTGGTGTTGTGTAGTAAAGTTTTTTCCCCCCATGTCCACTCTCTCTTGAAGGGAAAGTGAAGAAAGGAACGTTGTCCAATAGAAAGTCTCGGGGTGGAGGGGTGGGTTGTGGTTAAGGATCAGACAGTCAGGTGGATGAGTTTAGTTGCTGCTTGTGTTTTTCAGCAAACTCTGATCCAATAGGACAAGATTGCCGCTTATCTAAAGTAGAAATAACCGAAACCGAATTAACCGAAGGCGAACCAAAACCAGGGTGGTTGGTTTTGTTGTATTGGATTGATTTCGAGATCTTTTTTTCTGGTTAAACCAGTAACAACTAAATCTATCGGAACAGTAAAGAACGATTGAGCGTGGACACTTGTACCATTAAAAAAATACAAGGAGATTATAGTTGAACAACCAGTCGGACAATGGCGTTAGCAAATGTAGATCTGCATTCAATTCGATTGACTCGACACATGCAGACGTAAACTCTTGATATAGAAAACGTAAACACTTCGACCATCACAGAGGGCGCAGGTTGAGGAGTTGAACAAACCTTTTAAAATGCAGCAGAGATTTTCTTACCAAACTCCATCTGCAACATTTGCTGCAATCTATAAATAGCCTCCAGACTGAAGTTGAAACGCATCAACGAACACAAAAAAAAAGCAGAGGAAGAAGGAAAAAAAAAAGATCCCGTTGTTTCTTTCGTGAGAAAGCTTTTCGGAGCAGCAGCAATGGCGTTGAAGAGTCTCTGGGCTCTTCTGCTCATATGTCTTACGGCATCATCTGTAGACGACATTGTTTCAGTCGCGGCGCGGCGTTTGTCTGATATTCCAAAGCTCGAATTCCCACATTTTCCGGAACTTCCCAAGGTACCGGAACTGAAGAAACCCGAAGTACCAAAGTTGCCGGAGATTCCGAAGCCGGAACTTCCCAAGGTACCAGAACTGCCGAAACCCGAGGTACCAAAGATGCCGGAGATTCCGAAACCGGAACTGCCAAAACCCGAGGTCCCAAAGTTGCCGGAGATTCCGAAACCAGAGCTTCCCAAGGTACCCGAACTGAAGAAACCCGAGGTGCCAAAGTTGCCGGAGATTCCGAAACCGGAACTTCCCAAGGTAGCGGAACTGCCCAAACCAGAAGTGCCAAAGTTGCCGGAGATTCCCAAGGTACCGGAACTGAAGAAATCCGAAGTACCAAAGTTGCCGGAGATTCCGAAACCGGAACTGCCAAAACCCGAGGTCCCAAAGTTGCCGGAGATTCCGAAACCAGAGTTTCCCAAGGTACCCGAACTGAAGAAACCCGAGGTGCCAATGTTGCCGGAGATTCCGAAACCTGAACTTCCGAAGGTAGCGGAACTGCCCAAACCAGAAGTGCCAAAGTTGCCGGAGATTCCCAAGGTACCGGAACTGAAGAAACCCGAAGTACCAAAGTTGCCGGAGATTCCGAAACCAGAACTTCCCAAGGTACCGGAACTGCCTAAACCCGAGTTGCCAAAGTTGCCGGAGATTCCGAAACCCGAGCATGAGATCCCGAAACTTCCAGAGATCCCGAAACTCGAAGTACCCAAGTTGCCGGAATTTCCAAAACCGGAATTACCAAAAGTGCCGGAGATTCCCAAATTACCGGAATTCCCAAAGCCGGAGATTCCAAAGATTCCCGAGATCCCTAAGCCCGATACTCTTCCAAAGGACGGCCCAACTCCTTAAAAGCCCAGCATCACTAGAAACCCTATTTGTGATATTACCCTCATAGCTCCGTTTATTTACGGATATTACCCTAATGCGTCGTTTAGTGAGAGTTTTTGGGGGGCCTTGTTCCATCCATGATTCCGTATGGTTGGTTTTATGTATACCCGTATTACGTTTGTATTTTTAATATAAAGTATGCTGTATTTTGTAACGAATTACATTTACTTGAATAGTGCAACACTTGTACTTTCATTATTTATCATATACCGTTTTCAACATCATGATGATGACCATTATTTTCTACCCGTGATTGTTCTAGATGCTTGAAATCTTCTAAAAATTCTAAACTTTGATATAAAATTTAGGAAAAATATTGTGTATCCCCGATCAATTTTGCTTGTGTTTGTAACTAAATTTATATCTTTCAATTATGTTAATTGTGCCCCACTATTTGATATAAATTTTATATTCGTTCTGTTTATGTATTGGATTGTGGTTTTGTTATATGTCCCCAAATCAGCTTCAGGTTATGTAGATATGAGTAGATACATGTCAATTGTTTGCCATAATAGAGATGAAACCCGATGCGAGAGGCATGATCCAAAGTATATTTGATTTTCACTATAAAAAAAAAGGAAGAAGAATATATTTGTATATATGTGTCATTTTTGTAACATAAAAATGGTTTAAATCGATGAGAAAAATGTTTTGAAAATCACAAATTATAGATTTTACAAGAAAACAACTTAAAACTCCAATAAAAACTATCTACAATTGCTAAACCAAATATGGCGATATATATATATACAACCGGTTGTCCCCGCGAAATACCACAAAATTGCATAATTCAAACCTTGGATCCAAAATTAAAAATAAAACTTTAATTCTAATGCCAAAAAAAATAATAATGGTAAAAGCGTGCTTTTGTATAAAACCAACACAAACTTATCTATAACCTTTGGCATCGATATATACATTAGAAGTTTGAGAGTATGTATATTGTAAATTAGAATATGATGTAATTTTCTTACCAAACAAACCTAACACAACTCAACTTAGGAAGTAACATCACGTGTGGGTGAGTTGTTGAAGACTAAAAACATCCGAGGGGAAATTCCAAGGGAGTTGGAAAGGAGCATGGTCGACTTACCGAGAGGTTGGGGATTCGACTCCTTGCCACTCACCTGTCACATGTCAGTTACGACTGATTTACTTCCCACGTATATGTTGTAAGCTCGTGCATGGAAGTGGGGTTTTACTGTCCGCAATACTGTCAGATGTAGTTTCCGTCCTGTCCATTGGACTGAGAGGCGTTTTGGTGTCTAGTGTCCGACCTGAAGCACTATATAGAGGTTCCCCACTGGACAAAAATAAAAAAATAAAACATCAGAAATCTCCCATGCAGTTTTTTTTTTCCTCACCAAATATTGACCCATGAATTTCACACTCAATCTCTCACTCCCATTATATAACAAGATCCATCATTTCACACTCAATACACAATTCTCACCACATCACAGTGAAAAAGGTTTAAAAAATGGCCAGTCTTCGCCGTCCAGCTCTCATCTCTTCGATCCTCCTTATGATATCTCTGTCATCTCTCTTGTTCGCTTCGTCTGCCTCTGCCACTGAAATGCGCCGTTTTCTCGATGAAGAAGAAGTCCCCGAGCTTCCAGAGCCGGAGGAGCCGGAAGTTCCCGAGGAGCCTGAGGTGCCCGAGATTCCGGAGGAGCCAGAAGTTCCCGACGAGCCGGAGGAGCCGGAGTATCCGCCAGAGCTGCCCAAGTTCGAGCTGCCGCCATTCTTTCCGAGCTTTCCGGGTTTCCCCGGCGGAAAACTGGCGAAGCCCGAGGTTTCCAAACAGGCGGCGGTGGAGGATAACGGGAAAAAACTTTCCGGCGAAAGCCAGAGTGGGTCAAAGACAAAGCCCTAGATCATGGGTTTGTCGTGCTTGATCGTATAATACAGGCATGTCCTCCTCGTGGCTGTGTTGAAGGTTGATAAAAACAAGAGTATTCCTATATTGGGTTTGGATTATTTCGGTTACATTTTTTCTGTTATATGTTATCATGCCTGATGCCGACATTTTCTAGATTTCATGTTCTTGCTTTGGTTGTTGTAAAATTACTCTCTTCTGTCATATCTAATTATTATTATTATTATTAGTAGTAGTAGTAATAGTAGTATATTGCTGTGGAGTTATAATATTTGGTACTAAAAATTATATACTTTTAGTTTCATAATCTATTTGCCAGCAAAAGCAAGGGATAATAAGTGAAATAAGCGAAAAAAAAGGGGAAACCATCTTTAATGGGCCAAGAGTTCATGAAATTGGGCCTCCGGGTCTTTAATGGGTCATTAACTCTTAACGATAATCCCATAAGAAAGAAAAAAAAACGGCAGCCATTGTCGAAGATTCGAAGGAGAGAGTAACGAAGGATGGGTGGGGAGA